CCTCCCTCCCTCCCTGGATCAAGGTGGCCTTAAACTCAGAGGCCTCTGCCTCCAAAGTGCTAGGATTGAAAGTGTGCTCTAGCAAGCCCAGAACACATATCATTTTTTTTTTTTTTTTAAAAAACTACTACTTCTACTTCTCCACTTCTATCCACAATAGGGTTTCTCTGTAGCCCTGGCTGTCTTGTAACTCTCTTGGTCGAGCAGGCTATCCTTGGAATTCACAGAGACTCTCTGCCTGCCTTTGCTTCCCTAACCTGAGTGCTGGGATTAAAGGCATGCACCAGCATGTCTGGCTAAACTTCTAACCAGAAGCCAGTTCCATCTGTCTTTCTCTTGGAGGTGCTTCCATATGTCGTTCCTCATCCTTTGACTCTCAGCGCATGCACGCTTCCACCAGGTGGTCATGCAGCTTGTTTGATCCGTGTCGGTGTGTAGACATTCGGTTTGTTTTCATTCTCTCAATATTATAGGCGGGGCATTTTTTTTTTCAGGATTTGCCGTCATCTTACTCTGCTGCAAAGTACATTTTTCAGAAGTGCCGTGTAACTAAAACCTGCCTGTAAAGGCGTGCCCATTTACATCCCTGTCAGCAGTGACGCTTGTCTCGCACAGCCTTTCCAGTGCGGCATGTCACCCAGCCTTAGGAGGCTTGCCCTGGTTAGGTCAGGAGGTGGCCTCTGTCTGGCTTTATTTGAGTCTATCTTATAACAAGTTAGCCATCTCTTTGGATGTTGAAGAGTCCTTTGTGGATATTTTCTTGTGATTCATCTTGTTTCTCTATTGAAGATTTGTATGTGTGTGTATGTGTGTGTGAAAAGCAGATTTCTTTTATTGCTTGTGTGATTTGTTATTGGTTCTCATTGTACTATTTCCCTTCTATCAAAAACTTAGTATTTCTTTTTTCCCATTTCTTGATTATTTCATCCATGAATGCCGTATTTATAATTTCACCCCACCCCATCTTCCTCTGCCTCCAACTCCTTTTGGGTCCATTCAGCTCCCTCTCAAACTTGGGACTTCTTCTTCTGTAATTATTATTATCATATATATGTTATATATGTAACATATATGTATATATATATGCATACATATACACATACACATATACACATCCTGCTGAATATATTTAGTGTTGTTCATATGTGTATGAGCTGAGATCATAGATATAAACAAGGCCTGACCACTTGGGGTTAGACAACCTATCAGGAGGCTCATACTTGAAGAAGCCTGATTCTTCCTTTCTTGGTAGCAGTTAGTTGTCTGTAGCTCTTCACCCAGAGGGTAGCTGGTTTTTGTTTTTTTTTTTTTTGTTTGTTTTTTTAAGAAGCCAAGACAGGAGGATTGCTATGAGTTCAAGGCTAACCTGAACTACATAGCAAGACCATATCTCATAACACCTAAACTTGGCTGGACGTGATGCTGTACACTTCTAATCCCAGTACTCAGGATTCAATGGCAGGAGGATCTCTGTGAGTTTGAGGCTGGGTGCATAGAGAGTTCCAGGTCAGCCAGGGCTACATAGCAAGATCCTGCTTGTAAACAAAACACTCCAGACTACAACAGTGAAAACCCAGAACCAAGCAGAAGCCACCAAACACAACTTAAGAAGCTTGCCAAGTGGAAATTGATGGTCAGGCTTGAGAAATCAGGCTGGTGGAGGAAGGACAGAGGAAGCCGTCATTACCTTACGCAGGTGCTCCTTTATACCCCAGAGAAAAGCGCTGAGCAGATGTGTGCACGTGGCATGGTGTGAAGCTAGCCAGCCTTTCTCATCTGTCTTGTCTTTCTCTCTGTCTTCAACTGCCCTCCTTCCATCAGAGCCTCTTTTTCAAATACTCATATCCGAGATCCTCTCCTCAAAAAAAAAAACTAATGTTTGTTTCTCATAGGTCTCAAAAACATAGGCTTTTGTAGGGCTATTTGATGTGAGGCAGACTACAAAATCCAGGAAAGCTAGAGCCCAGTGTGGGACAAAAGGGAGTAGAGGAGACTGTGGTAAAAAGGAGATAGCAGATGCTGTGTAGAGCATAGAATAGCTTTAGGAGATTGTTGTTCCCAGTAGCTTTTGCTAGGTAACAAACCACCTCAAACCTCAATACCTTAAGACAACACTTACTGGGCAGGCAGGGTGGCTCAGTGGGTAAAGGCACTTGACTGCTGCCACCAAACCTGACTGCCTAAGTTCACTCTCCAGAACATGGTGGAAGTAGACAACAGACTTCCACAAGTTCTCCTCTGGCCACACACATGTGCTGTGGCCCACATGTGTCCACATACGTACACTCAAATAAATGTGCAAATATTAAAAACAAGATGTCTCCTTAGCTTCTACTTCTGCACATTATCCGTTTAGCTGGGCTCAGTTAAAGTCTGTTCTCGGCTGAGCATGCCTGCATCTGACCTGCAGCAGAGCATCAACTGCAGGTCAGCTCTGCTGACCTTGCTAGGCTTCTCCACAGAGGAGACACAGAGCCAGCCCAGGTCTGGACACATGGATGGCCTGAGTGCTTCCTGCAGCTGGTGCTCACTCGGTCGTCACAGGGTGCAAGGGGAAGGGCAAGCCGTTGGGCTTCCCAGCCATTCAGATCAAGCCTTGTAGTCAATGGAGAAAGGACTATGGAAACAGACAACACTCTTTGAGGGAACTTCAAAGGAACATGGAATGTACTATTTGAAGACATTTTCCTTTGCAAACCATCTGCCTATGTTGCCGTATAGCGGCAGAAACCTAGGTGGGATGCCTACCATGGGTTCCATCCCCCGCACCCCCCCCAGCTATGCCAGGAACAATAACTAGTTGGCAACGAGGTTGCTGTTTGTCCTGTTTCTGCAGCTCCAGAGAGCCAGGCTGGCATGGTGGCAGATGGGGCTCAGCCCCTTCCTGTGAGAGTCGTTCCACGTCTCAAAACCAATTTCCTTATGGGTCTGAAGGGAGTCCTAACAGGGCTTGGTGGAGCATAGACACACGACACAAGGGATGCTAAATAAGTCCTGGCTATTCTAGTCCTCTCCGCCAGGCAGGAATTGTGTCGCTCTGCAGTTCTCGGTCCTGTCCGTCGCAATGGCTCGTTTTATACCAAGTATTAAATGTATTTATTATCCCGCAATAAATCCTGGAAAATGGAAATGGAGCCTACCTATAAATGAACTTGGGAAAGCCAGTATAATGTTAAGTCTGATATGAAGGAGAAAGAAAGGGAAAGCATTTTCTTGCAATGTGGGCTTCAGTGTGCACTCAGGCACCAGAACTCCAGAAGCTGTGAGGAGACTTCTAAAATTAGCTTGTCTCTATATGTAGTAAGTAAGTTTGGAGGTCAGGAGAGAAAATCCAGAAACTACTCTGCGTAAGTACAAGAACGTGAAGGAGCAGAGGGTTGTGTGCCCTAGGATAGCAACCCACGGGGGAGGCAGACCTGACTTCTTGTGTAATGAGGCGCTAATGATAACATAACACGATAGCTCACCCACCCGGGAGGTCAGGAAATGAGAATGGATGATATCCTTGTAGATATCCTGAGACTTATGTATTAAGGTGGTATATAAAAGTGCAGTAGTGTGTGTGTGTGGTTGGAAAGAGTCTGAGAGTCACAGAAGTATTTTGGCTCTTGGAATCACAGTATATTTTTGCCCTGTTCAGGCTCTGAGTGTTCAGAGGGACACGTGAGACCCGTGCTCATTTCTGTAGCACAGGTCTGTGTGTAGGATATTGCCATTCCCAGTTAGCGCTCCCTCCCCCCCCCTCTCTCTCTCTCCCCCTCCCCCCACCCCGCTTCCAACTTGTGGATCAAGACTTGAGCTATCCCTGCTCCCCTGCCTTTGTTCCACCATCATGGACTCTAACACTCTAAAACTGTAAGCCCCAAATTAAATTTTCTTTACAATTTTGTAAGTTGCCTTGGTTAGGGTGTTGTATCCCAGTAGTAGAAAAGTAAGACTGTGGTCTCAGAACGTATATTGACGACTTCAGCTTTGTATGGATTAGCTGTCAGGGTAACCTTTGCTTTAAGACAGAAACAAAGGCTGAACAGGAAGCTCTATATTAGGAAGGAGTGGTGTGGGAAGGGAGCCTTAGCAGAGGAGGGCCAGGCCTGGAAACCAACGTTTTAGAAAGCTGGCAAACGCAACAGTGTTTGGAGAAGGCAAACAACCTGTTTTCCTTTATCAGCTAATTGTGTTTATCTTAAATATGAAAATAATACTCAAATTATACTCAAACACATGAGCTCCATTGTCTGTTAGCCTTCCTGTGGGATTACCATTCTCTGTTTCATTTTCTTCTATATAGCTACAGACAGAACAATACAGAGGCCGGTAGAGAAGCAGGCGGGAGGTAGTGCTGTTTTTTTTTGTTTTTTTTTTTTTTTTGGTTTTTCGAGACAGGGTTTCTCTGTGTAGCCCTGGCTGTCCTGGAACTCACTCTGTAGACCAGGCTGGCCTCGAACTGAGAAATCTGCCTGCCTCTGCTTCCCAAGTGCTGGGATTAAAGGCGTGCGCCACCACCGCCCGGGTAGTGCTGTTTTAAAAGAGACTCCTACGCTATTCTAAACTTTTACTTAATTGTAGCTGTGAATATTGTCTCACGACAGTGTGAGCAATTCTGCCGTGTTCCTTTCAGGGCTGCGTAGAGCTTGCTCCAGGACAGCTCCCAGATTTTGCTTCACTCCTCTATTATTCTATCAGTGGAGTGTGTGTGTGTGTGTGTGTGTGTGTGCACACGTGCACGCGCGCGTGTGCAATCATGAAGTTGCTGAACACCTTACCTCTACCCTTGTTTGCTTGAGCCAAGATTTCTGTGGGTAGATGTCTAGGCTGGGGTTGGTGGAGCAAAGGATTTATATATTTTAAAAATATTGCCCAACTGTCCAAGACTTCAGCCTGTGACACTCCCGAGAGAATGAAAGAAGTCATTTTCTGCCAAACTCCCCTGGCCTTCTGTGTTACCCTTCCACTCCTATTACCTATACGAGATGCCGCATACAGTTTTCCTCCGTGCTATTTTAAGAAAGCTACAAATGTGAGTGGCTTCCACCATTCTGCACTGGTTCCTTGGTGACATTAAAAAGAATGCAATCATCTCTTTAAGGAGCCCTAGGCCTCTGATTTTTACTATAGTGACAGTTGTCCCTGGGAGGCAGCTGGCTCTTTCCCATGGAATGTCAGCCTAGAATGGAGTTCCCAAAATACCCGCCCACAGTTATCTGAGCTTGGGACACCCTTAGGGTGAGCAGATGGACGGTCCAGGTGAAGTCCACCCATTGCCCCACCTCGGGCTCCCACCTGCTATGTCTATTCTTAGCCTATGAGCTGTTTCTTTCCTGAACATTTGGTCTGAAGAGTTTTCCTTAGGAAGGACTTGAGGGCTCTGTTACAGGGCCCTGGAGGCTGGCCCCTAGGAACACTTGTGAGTCTTGTAGGAGACACACAGAGACAAGTTAGGGGCTAGAATTCTATACACATCTCAGAATCTGAGAATAGCCAAAGAAGGCCTTCTGCTGGAGCCTCTCCCAGTGGCCCTTGACCTGCCTTAGTGCTTAAGAGCATTGGCTGCTGTTTTAGAGGATCCAGGTTCAATTCCCAGCATTCATATGGCAGCTTACAACTATCTGTGATTCCAGTTCCAGGGCATCAGAGTCCCTCACACAGACATACATGCAGGCAAAGCACTCATCAATGCACATGAAATAAAATAAATAAATCATTACATTCTGATAAAAATTCCAAACCTACAGGAAATTAGGATGATATGATGAATATCCTCCTACCTACCACCTGAAATGAGAGTTAACACATTAATATTTTCTTATCTATTTTTGTGCTAAGCTATTTAAAGGAATTTGTTACTTTCCCCATAAAAATTATGTCCCTGTGGTACTTTTATACTCATTTATTTACTTAACATGTGTATGTGCGTGCATGTGTTTGTGGAGATCAGATGACAACTTGTAGGAATCAGCTCTCTCCTTGTGCCATGTGAGCTTCAGAGACAGGTCCTCAGGCTTTTTGGTAAGCTCCCTTACCTGTTGAGCCATCTCACTGGCCCTCAAACCTTTTTTAAGCAATAGCCTATTTTGTTAAGTAAAATAACAAGTGAGTGACCTCTGAGTCTTGGGACATTATGTGACTAGAGATGTGACGTCACAGTTGAGTGCAGTTCAGCATGTGATTCTGATGCCCTGGTGAGAAGCTAAAGACAGAAACAGGGGATTGGGCTGTATCGAAAGCTATGGGACCACACGAGGTCACCAAGGGAACGCGTGGAGGAAAGGGCTCTCGCGTCAGGCAGAAAGAGTAGCCCATGAAATGAGCAGACACTGGTCAGAGGGTCTCTGGGTCCTACCAAGTAACACTTGTCAAGGAAGAGCATATAGTCAACCATGTTTGCTCCTGAGAGGGTAAATAGGACTGATAGAGTCCTGGATTCTGTTCAGATCAGGAATCAAGGCCCAGGAGTGGCTCTGTCTGCCTAATATTTTAGATTCTATTAGTTACAGAAAAGACAGCAGGGAGAGAGTGCACTGCCTGATATCACACACTCTCAGTGATAGAGATGGGCCACTGGTCCCCTAAAGGATGGTTTCTACCTGCCTAATAGCAACCTTCTCTCTCAGGCCACAGGCTGGACCTTCGGGTCTCAGTTTCTTACTTGTAATCCCTCTGCAGAGGATTACCAAGTACCCCCTCCTGCTGCAGAAAATCCTGGAGAACACACCTGAGGATGCCAGTGCCCATCCTGTCCTTCAGAGAGCCACCTCTGCCCTCCAAGATGTGAACAGCAATATCAACGAATACAAGATGCGCAAGGAAGTGGGTAAGGACTTGTGTTTAGGGGTGCATCAGGGATAGCATTCCTAGATCCAAAGCTCACCTGTGATAGCCTCATCTATCATGAAAATGTGGGGCTGGGATGGAGCTCTGCTGACTGGGTGCTTGTCTGATGTGTGTAAGGCCATGGTTTAGTCCCCATCACCTCTGGCAGGGAAAGAGGTGTGTGTGTGTGTGTGTGTGTGTGTGTGTGTGGATGTGTGTGGCTGAATACATCACCTCTTAGGTTGTTGTAGTAGGAAGGGTTATAAAAGGAAGCAGTATCCATGCATCAAAAAACTCAGTTGTCCACCGTAAGCATGGTACCAAGAATCTAGCTCATGTTTACTTTTTTAGAAAGCATTATTAAAGTATTATCTATCTATCTATCTATCTATCTATCTATTATTTTTTGAGACAGGATTTCTCTGTGTAACCCTGGCTGTCCTGTAACTCACTCTATAGACCAGGCTGGCCTCAGTCTCACTGAGATCCTCCTGCTTCTGCCTCCTGAATGCTGGAATTAAGGGCATGTGCCACCACCACCTGGCTGAAAGTATTTGTTTTTATTTTGTATATGTGAGTGTTTTGCCTACATGCATGTCTGTGTACCACATACTTGTCATGGAGGTCAGAAGAAGGTATCCTTTGGAACTAGAGTTACAGGTAGTTGAGAGTTGCATGTGCTGGGAACCAAACCCAGATCCTCTGGAAGAACAGCCAGTGCGCTTCTCTCTGTCTCTCCGACCTTTATGTTTACTTTTTTTTTAATTTTAAAGAATTATTTATTTATCTTATGTATACTGTAGCTATATGCTGTACATTGTAGCTATCTTCAGACACACCAGAAGAGGGCATCAGATCTCATTACAGATGTTGTGAGCCACCATGTGGTTGCTGGGAATTGAACTCAGGACCTCTGGAAGAGCAGTCAGTTCTCTTAACTGCTGAGGTATCTCTCCAGCCCCTTCATGTTTACTTTTAAGATAATTACTTCAAATTCATAAATATTTGCGGGGCAGAGTGTGATACTTTTGCACACATATACAATGTCCAGCAGTTGGAGTGGTGGTCAGTACATTGTTTGAAGTTTAATTTTTCTATATTTTTTCCTTCAATATCTTTTTTGATCCTTAAAACTCCTAAGGCCAGTTCCACTTCCCTTTTGGGTAAACAGAATATATATGGTTTCCAGCCATATATACTTAGTGCAGTCATATATACAGTCACTGGGTTGTAAGGAACAGAGAGAGTTTCAAACTTAGGCCTGGGGTCTTTGAGGTTTCTCCAATTCTTGTTTCTTCATCCGGTGGACAAGAGGCAGAGGGCAGAGGTGCTGAGCCAGGAGGGTTTGGTAGACCTTGATCAAGCTTGCTGGGAAAGTCCCTTCACACTTGCTGTCTTAGGTGATTTCCCCCCAGCAACCTTGCAAGATGAAGTCCTCATTCAAAAACAAAGTTAAACAAACAAATAAAACCGAGGCCCCAAGGAACCTGTTTAAAGTACAGCAGGCCGGGTGCTCTTCAGCTTGGAATCACACTCGGGACAAAGAGAACCCTGAGTGCCGGAATTTATCATCCTGCCAGCTGTAATTTGGTGGAGCAGATTGCCAAGTCAGGAGGAGATGGGGCTGTTTGCCTCCTGGGTCTACCTTAGTCACTCACAGAGCCTTTTCTTCCGTGTTGCCACAGCCTTAAAGTATACCAAAGTGGAGCAGCTGAGCCTTCGGGAGCGACTGGCCCGCATCAACACACATACTCTTTCCAAGAAGACCACCAGACTGAGCCAGCTGCTGAAGCAGGAGGCGGGGCTGGTAGCCAGGGTGAGCGAGTCTTCCGGTGGGGGAAGATACTGGAATGAAAGCAGGATGAGGTACCTTTGGAAAGCGAGATAGCCGAAGCGGAGAGTGAGGGACCACAAGGAAGCACAGCACCTGACTCTCAAGAGCCAGTATCCGGGCTCACGTTGCTTATAAAGGAACCAGGCCCCGAGCGTGGGCAGAGCACCAGTCTGAACAGTTCCCAGGCTCAGACTAAGTGAGTGCCTCTTCCAAAGCAGTAACGTTTAAGCCGCAGGACTAAGTAGGTATTCTTATCTCAGTTTTCACACAAGGAAGCAGAGGCTACCAGAGGATGAAGTGTCTGTCCACAGCTACACAGCTAGGACGCATGTGAGCCAGGATTCATACTCTAGTGTCTGATAACATGGTCTGATGGCAAAACTTCCCCCAAAAAAGCTGTTTGCTTTTGAGACAAGTCCTTGCTATGCCATCCTCATAATCCTCCTGCCTCCATGTGCTAGGGTCTGGACTTTCAAACCTGTATCACCACCACATACAGTTTATACTTTTTTTTTTTTTTTTTTTTTAAACGGCCCTACTCAGTTGTCAGCTGGATGAGCCAGCTCTTCTTGTCTTTCCAAAATCTGTAGAGAGATTATCTCTGGTGAGTGCCTGAGGCAGAGAAACCAGTTATACACTGCCCCCATGTGGCTCTTCTGACCTTCACACGTATGGCTTTACTCACAGACAGAAGACAAGGAATTTGATGACTTGGAGGAAAGATTCCAGTGGGTGTCTTTGTGTGTGCTGGATTTGAAGAGCAATGTGGCAGCTTACATGGATAATCTGGAGGTGAGAGCCCTGCAGAGTCCAAAGGCCAGGCCCACAAGCTTCAGAGGTACCGGCTGCAGGGACTGTGGGGTGAGGAGTCAGCCAGGTGGGCTGACAAGCACACTGCACTCTGTAGCCACAAACCTGGGGGACTAGAGGCAGCTTCTAGGTCCATTAGAGTTCTCATGGGTCAGGGTCATCGATCCTTTGGAACTGGAATTACAGATGGTTGTAAGTTGTCATGTGGGTGCTAGGAACCAAACCCACCCAGGTCGTCTCCAAGAACAGTAAGTAGTACTCTTAACCACTGAGCCATCTCTCCAGCTCCTGGCTCTTTCTTTTTCAAGCATTGATTTGAATGGAAGCAGTCCATTGGCTTACAGAAAAGCATGAATAGAATCTGCAGAGTGTGCACATGGCAAAAAGATTCACCAGGGTGGCCCACAGGTAACTGTGGTGCTCACAAGCCCAAAAGGAGTGAAGAGATAAGGACCCCAGCTCAGCAAGCTTCTTTTAATCCCCCAGGTTGAGCAAGGATAGGTGGCAAATGTGGAGACTCTGGAAAACTGCTTGGGAGGTCTGCTGAATCCCGGGTTAGGCGTAAGATGGCCATGGTAGGACCTAACCACCTATCTCTGTTGGCCCTGACTCAGGCTTTCCTCTGCTTCCGGCCACACGAACGGAGTCTGGATATCCCTGGGGGACCTGCGGAACAGTACTGCAGCCTAGCGAGGGACCTTCAGCTCCAGGCCTTCCTGCAGTTTGTGAGTGGGATATTTCCTCCCCCTTCCTCTGATAGGCAGGTGGTGGGGCCGACAAGGGTAATATTTAGAAGTCAGGCACTTATACAACTGTCACATCCAATAGGGGAGGGAGCGCTATTCCTGCGCTTACTGATAAAAATAACCCAACTGATGTGCAGTGAGCCGCACCCTGTACCAGGCAGCGTGCCCGCCTTTTTCATTCCTGACCTCATTTACCCCTCAACACACGCTTTCAGATGAGGCACTATTAATAGTCCCGTTCTGCTAATGGCAGCTCGAGGCCCAGAGAGCTCCATCTCTCGGGTCATTTACACAGATGGAGTCTGAGTCCCAAAGTATCATTCTATACAAGAGTGTGTTTCAAGGTCTTCACATAATAACAACACCAAGAAGTACCAGGAGTTAAGAACCTTCCCCAGGCTGTACTCTGAGGACCCTACATACTAACTCCATTTCCACACCATAAGCACAAGACTCAGTGAGGTTAGAACAGGGTTCTGAAGATTTTTCCACATCGACTTCATTCCCTGAGGAACTTTTATGTGACCTAGATATATAAGTGCATGTAATAAGTATACAGATTTACTGATGATACTCTGTAAGGGAATATTTTAAAACAATCCTTTGAAATACATCTAATTTGACCATGTATTAAAGGTAAAGGCACATCTATGCCCTAATGTGATGGTGTGCGGCTTATTTTCACACCAGTAAAACCTTGGCTGAATATTTGATGCAGATATAGGATCTCTGGACTCAGAACATCCTCAAAGGGTTTCAGAGTTGATGAGTATTTTGATCGTACAATCATCAACGCTGAGACCATCACTTCACATAAATACACATTTCAGAATTCATTTTGAGTCAACGTACATTGAGAAAGCTTTTACAGTTGCTGAATCTTGTTCAGTCATGATCCTGTACAGACTGCCATCCACAGTTTAGGCAGCAGGGGGTTAGGATATGCTAAGTCACAGCTTACCAATGGAGGGGGTCTAGAACCCCAGCTATGTGCCTCCAGCACCCCCCCCCCCAGCCTCTACCCTTTGCCACCCCCATCCCAGTTCCCACGCTCCCCTCTCCCTACAGAGGCAGCGGTTGAAAGGCCTGGTGTGGCAACCATTGTGCAATCTGGCCAGAGCCTTGCTTGGCCCTCAGAACTTGATCAAGAAGCGTCTGGACAAACTCCTGGACTTCGAGCGAGTAGAAGAGAAACTCTTGGATGTGGGTAGTGTGACCTACGAGGAGGAGGCGGCCCGGCACACATACCAGGCGCTCAACTCCTTGCTAGTGGCTGAGCTCCCACAGTTTAACCAACTAGTCATGCAATGGCTGGGCCAGATCCTGTGCACGTTTGTGGTCCTCCAGAGAGACCTTGCCGATCAAGTGCTACAAAGGGCGGAGAGCAGCATGGCCCTGGTAAGGCTCCTGGGACTGAGGTTGCTGTGGAGCACAGCCAGGCAAAGGCCTAGCTGTTGTCAGGGCAGAGGTGGGGACAATGTGGACTAAATAGGCTGCTGGGACCCAGGACTCAGTGGGGACCCTCGAGATGTCTCTCATGCCTTTTCTCCATCTCTAGTGGAAGCAGAGGCCAGGCTGGACTCTAGGTCCCCCTAAGTCATCCTGGGACTCAAGAGCAGAGGAGGTTATTTTGGAAAAACAGCAGCAAATCCTCCCTAGAGGGTATGACAAGATGGTGACAGAGACATATGTCTTTTCTGTCTAGTCAGGAGTAATGTGTCCAGCTGGGATTACTACCTGTATGGCTAGCAGCCGTTTCCTGTCTAGCTAGACAGGAACCTAGCTGTTCCTGTCTAGCTGAACAGGAACCTGTTTGGGACCTTTCCAGGCACTGCCTCACTCAGTCCTCAAGCAATCCTGTATAGGGTGGGGTCCTCTCAATAATAAAGAAGCCACAGCCCAGAGAGGTAAAATAGCTTGTGCAAAGATGCAGAGAGGTCAGGAGGTTTTGACCCTTGATTGTGCAGTAATGGAGCTTGAACACAGTGATTAAGAGCCTTTCAAAAGGAACCATCAACTGAAGGTATAATCAGATTCAAAAGACACAGACCACCACACACAAACTTACAGTGGAGAATTTAGAAGTCTGAGTTGGTACAGGAGGCGCATCTGGCTCTGTAACATCAGTGTCAGAGCTGAATGGCATGAGTCAGGCCTTGGGAACCATTTCCATGATCTTCGTCCCAACATTGCCTTCTGTGTTTCCCTTTCGTCTCTGACTTCCCACTCCCCGACTCCTCCTTATCCCCACTTCCTATCTCCTCACCTCCTCACTCCTGCCAGCTTTTCAATCCATGGTCCCACCCAGCTGCTGCGGCATGTCCTTCCCTCCAACACGTTACCTGAGCGGCACTGTGTCTCTGTACGAACTCTTCTTTACTTGGAAATACCTCAATGGCCCCCCAGGCCTCTCTCAATGCCTACCATCCAGTGACAGATGAACCAGTCTTTTCAGGAAGCACCCAGAATTCTTGTTGCACCGGAGGAGTGGAGACCCGCTCCTCACCCTCTGTACACCAACAGAACTTTAGTAATGTGTGTCCTAACACATGTCTGCTTGGTGTTTACTAGAGCCTGCCTTCTGCCGGAGTTGTGGGGAGCCATGTTTTCCCTCAGTTGGGGGTGGGGCCCAGAGATCCAAGTGGTTCCTCCTTTGGATCTCTTACTATTTAGTACTGGGCCCTGCCTCTGGCATACTGTTTGAAGTATGAAGTTGAAATAGGCCTAGTGGTGAATAACAAGAAGAGTGAATCTGATTGGATAACCCTTTTGTTTTCTTCCAATTTCTCCTACTAGTCTGACATTTGGGTGAGCAGGGCTAAGGATGCCAGAGCAGCCAGAGGTTTATAGGCATAGAAAGCGCATGTGTGGTGGTGGTGATGGGGAAGCAGAGGGAGCATCTCCTGATTGGTCCTGAACTATGGATGGCTATGACCTGCCTAGGATTGCTTATATATCCCTTGTATATATATATCCAGTGGGTCATTCACCTGGCCTCACTCCTGTGATTCAAGGCCTGCATGGCAAAGGCCATCTTCTCTCTGCAGTCAGGAGCAAGGCTGGAGTCTGGCAATAACCCAGAGGGCTGGACATGTCTGTTGGCTGTGGGGTCTCATTCACTCTTGAGCTGTCTGATGAGACTATGGGAGAGTCTTAGCAGGGTAGAGGCCTCATGGGAGAGCTCAGTACTCACAAGTTGTACCTACAAGTCTATGCCAAGGTGGCTGGAACACAGAGAAGAGCAGGATGGCCTGGCCCCAGGAGGGGTCAGGGCTCACACCCGCTTGTAGATATGTAGTGTCATGACTCGCTCCCAATCTCTTGCCTGTTTTCCTCCCTGGCTGGGCTGGTTTTTAGGCAGGCTTTGTTTCTGCATGTGTGTAAGATAGGGAATCACCAGGCAATCATGGTGGCAGTGATCTTCTGCCCCATGGAGGGATGTTTTCTTAACAGAAAGGTGGGCAGACAAAAGTAGCAGTCTGGGACTAGAGGGTGGGTGCCCCGGCACCTCGTGGTCCCTTCTCCTGCAGAGGCTCAGCTGACAGCATCTTCCCACTCAGCTGCCTCATTACCACGTCTCAGAGCCGGACTTCCAGAAGCTGCTGGAGCACACACTAGGCCAGAGCAGTAGCCAGCTCCGCCTCTTTCAGGAGAGCTTTGAGAAGGTGCTTCCACCATCCACCACTCAGGTAGGTGTCCCTCCCCGCCATGTCCAGCCACTCTCAGGTGATCAGCTGAAGCTTCCTTCCCCCTGTTTCTCTCTCTCTCTCTCTCTCTCTCTCTTTTGGTTTTTCGAGACAGGGTTTCTCTGTGTAGCCCTGGCTGTCCTGGAACTCACTCTGTGGACCAGGCTGGCCTTGAACTCAGAAATCCACCTGCCTCTGCCTCCCAAGTGCTGGGATTAAAGGCGTGCACACCCCCCCGCCCCCCTGTTTCTCTATTTCTTTTCCCTGTTACTCATGGAAGCATTTCTTCTTCCTGTCTCTCCTTTCTGTGAACAAACAAAACAAAATAAAATATTATATTCTAATACACACACATACACACATGGGGGGGGGTAGGGTGGGAAAGCTATCTCCTAAACCATTTGAGCATCTTACCTAGGCAGCATGTGTTTTACCTTTTGGTGTGTGTGTGTCTGTGTGTGTGTGTTTGAGATAGTTTTTATATACCTCAAGCTGGCCTTGAACTTGCTACATAGCAAGGGCTTAGCCCGAGATAGCTGTGAGCCGTGAAGATTGGGCTCCTGGAAGTGGAGTCACAGGTGCTTGTGAGCTGCCATATGGGAGCTAGACCCAAACCCGGGTCCTCTGGAAGAGCAGATGCTGCTGAGTCATCTCTCCAGCCCCCCAGTAATACTCCCCCCCCCAAAAAAACCTGCCACCTCTATGTTTAGCCTGGAAACATCTATCTGCTTGATTTTATTCCCTTTCTGCAATGCTGGGGTTGCACACAGCACACAGGCCTTGTGCACACCACGTAGGAGTTCTGCCACTGAGCTACATCTCCAGCCCAACCTTGGATTTGATTTGATTTGATTTGATTTGATTTTTTGAGATAGAGCCTCTTTCTGCAGCCCTGGCTGTCCTGGAACTCATTATGTAGACCAGGCTGGACTTGAATTCACCGAGATCTCCCTCCCTCTTCCTCTCAAGTACAAGGACTAACAGTGTGCATCCTGGTTCTTAATTCGGACGCTTCATCAGTACTAGGGCAAGAGTTGATGCCCAGATGTCCCTGACAGACACCTCTATCTGCCCTGTATCCAACATCTCCAGATAACCATATGTGATGCAGTGAATACAACAGGCACACACACAGTTTAAGTAGAGAATATGGTAAATATATGTATTTACACATTTAGTTTCCCCTTGGTTTTACAGAAGGGGGCAATCATACCTGAACTCCTCTCAATAATACTTTTGCTGAAAACAGTGAATGGGAAAAACAAAGGAAATGCCAGGCAGTTTGGGGATAAACTGAGGTCCTCTCTCTCCCAAATCTCTCTTCCCAGCTAGATGGCAATTTCTGTCTGAACAAAACTCTGCTGTATGTCCTTGCTGCAGCCATGGTGTTCTTGCTGTATGAAGTGTGCTCCAGTGCTTTGCACACAGTAGGTGTCCAATACGTGTGCAATGGAAATTCTCAGAGTCACAGCTAGCTGTCCTTTATCCATAGGAGTGTCAGGAGCTAGTGCTGGTCCTGTATTAGCTTCTGAGGATTCCAGATGGCTAATTCCTGGTGAACCACAAAGCCCATAGCCTGGCGTGGTTCAAAGACCTAGATAAGACATCTCCTGTGCAATGACTTAGCTTTGGGTCTATGCATAGAATTTAGGGCTACATCACACAAGTTTTATAACTGACAGATATCTAGACTTGAATTAGTTGAAAATTTCTTCTAAAATGTTATTGGAGGCTAAGAGCCAGCCATGGAGTAGAGGGCGTGGTTGTCCCCATCAGAATGGAGTCTTCAGTGACAGAGATAGGGCTGGATAAGATTCCCAGCTCTTAGCTCCTGTTGGCACAGCCTTGACACTTAACCCAAACTCCACTGTCTGTCTCTGCTCCCTCAGCCACTCCTTCCAGGGTCTGAACACCAGATGCAGGCTCTCCTTACCAGATATGGCCCTGGGAAGCTATACCAGGTGACAAGCAACATCAATGGGACTGGGACGCTGGACCTGACACTGCCGCGGGGTCAAATCGTGGCCCTTCTACAAAACAAGGATACCAAAGGCAACAACAGTCGATGGCTGGTAGACACAGGGGGTATGTGGGCCCTCGTGACTGCTTCATCTCCTTTTGGGAAAGCCAGCTGCCAGAAGCCACTAGGGAGGCATGGATGTCCTTGTGTGACAATCTGACTGTGCAAATTCAGGAGGGATGAACCCAGTGACGAATGCAGGAGCTCAGTCAGCTTACAGTAATTCAGTGGTGCATGAAATGTCTTAAGTAAGATCCAGTGTAGCCTTCCTCACCCCGTTCCTGGGTGCCAGGCAAGCAAGGCAAGCTTTAGAGAACACACACACACTAACGTTGTGTGGAAGGAACTTGAATAGTACCTTGAAAGATACAGATGTGTGCTGAGAAGGGATGCTTGCAGCCCAGCCTCTCTCAGAATCTGATTTATGACCGGGACAGTAGATCTCTAATGGTCATGGACTTGGGCTGCGTCACTGACGTCTGGGGCTCATGTGTGAATTAGATAAAGGTGAGCTGTACCGTGAGCCCAGGGGAATGAAATGGCCCAGTGGCATATCCTAAACACAAGGGTTGCGCAGGATTATTGTTGGTGATACAATAGTTACTTAAATACCTTTATGTGTATTATAAAAAAAATGCCACTAGTCCATAAGCTTGTGATTGTATTGCCATTACTGTATGGCACAAGGCCAAGCTTTAAAAACCAAGCCAGCTTTTAAAAATGAAGTAGAGTCATGTATGATGGTGCATGCCTCTAACTCCAGCATGAGGAAGGCAGAGGCAGGAGAATGACCACAAGTTTAAGACCATCCCTAGCTATGTAGAGAGGTCTAGGGACTGTGCAGTGAGACCTTGTTTAAAATAATAATAATTAAATGAAAAGTAGAAAGTAGTACACTGGGAAAACACGTTTGTGGGGAAATAGTATGAGGACCATCAGGGAGGCTTTGGGGCTTTCCTAATGGCGTTATTGCAGGGAGGCATGGAGCATCTCTGAACACAGTTGTGTCAGCATGAGACAGAGGTAGTGACAGTGACATGGACTGACCCTGATTGGTGTGAAGACTCTACCCACCTGGGAAGCAGGCAATGGTGGTCATTCACGGGGGCAGTAGCTGGGCAGCGTGGGGTGGGTGCTGGTGAGAAGGAGCCCAGAAGGACAGCATCAACTGTGGAAGGCAGTCCTGGTCCTGAGGAGAGCTGGGCAAGCAGCCTTGCTCTGGGCGGCCACTAGAGGGATGTGAACAGTAGTGCCACCAAGGGGAAACATTTGTCATACCAGCCCAGGGATGAACTTCCTCTGTCAGATGGTTTCAGACCTTATGGGCTGTCCCAGTGGGAGCAAGCCCCAGCTAGGAGCAGTGACTACAGAGTGGGACGGTGGGAGGGAGTGTGCAGGTCCTGGGTGATCTTGAACTGTCTCTGTAACTCTGGGAAGCCAGGCTCCAACACTCACATTTACTGGATTTCCACACCACTGAAAATGATAGGAAGCTGGCTAGCAGCTACTGAACCTTCTGCATGTTTCCTAGGACACCGGGGGTATGTGCCAGCTGGAAAACTTCAGTTATACCATCCCATCATTCCCAGCGAGAAGGAGCTCAGAGGCCAGACGGGGATGCATGAAGACTACTGGCTTCCAACCCAAGAGCCCACCCAACCCTCTGTCCCCACTGTCCCAACCATGAGCCAGGTGAGTCTGGAGGAGGGCTGAGGGCTTGCCTCCCCTTATCTGCTTCCACTACGGTTTGGATTTTCCTCTACTGTTGAAGTGCCTGCTCTTTCCATCGGAGGGCCCACCTCCTTGTGAGGCCAGGCAGTGACCAGTGATAAGTTCTTATCATGGCCAGGGGTGGAACGCATAGAGAGGGACTTCCCACAGGGACACCAGGGAGTTAATCCAACATCCCCACTCTCAGCAGGATATACGGGAGTCCTCCATTCACTCTGTATTTGCCAGGCACGGTACTAAATGAGAGTCATGGTGATGAACAGGCGCAAGCCCTGGTCCTCCTCAAGCTTGCCGCCTGGGGGGAAACAGTGATTAGATTAGCCTCGTGGATGTGTGGGTAAATACAAGTTCCCTGCTGTGGTGAGGTCCAGAGTTCCAGGAATAGAGAGGCTTTCTGAAGAAGAATGCTTTTTCCTTACATAGGAAGGAGGAGTAGGAGTTAACTGGATAAAGGGGGTGCAGCGGGGTGCCTGGGTTAAGTTCTCAGAAAGCACACACAGCAATGCAGAGACCTGGTGATCTGCAAGGGTCCAAAGAGGAACGGATGAAGCCAGAACTCGAGGGACTAGAGAGGGCAGGCTGTAGTGAGGCTCCTGGTGAAGTCTGCAGGGCCTGGCTCAGACAGACCCTGTGCCCTTGAAGAGGGTGCCAGTCTTCCCTACAAAAACACTGGGGAGCACAGATGCACACGTTCTTGAAAGCATTATTTATAGGAACCCAAGTATCTATCAATATAAGTAGGTAAACTATCCAATGATGGAGCCGCGTGTGTTGAGAACGCTCCTTGGAGAGCTGTAAGCAAAGTCTGCTCCCTCTTCATGGGACACCAATGGCAAACCAAAGCACAGCTCCACCAAGGTCCGAAGTGGGAACCCAAGAAGTTTATTGGCTTTCTTATAGGAGATGGGTGAGGTGTTACTTTTAGAAGTGAGGATGACCCCAAAGTAGCTGCAAAGTCTCACCCCATTGCAGTTGACTTTCCCATAGCTGCATAGATGGACCCCGCCGACCCCGCCCCATCAGTTAGTCTTCCACTATTACATGCTTATGAGACCACATGCAGTTAGGGCTGAATGACATGCGGATGGCTGAGAGGTGCAGGAAGCAGTGGCTGGAATCGTAGATTGGGGTCCAGTGCTTTTCCTTACACTCCCTCTTTGAGTTTATGTGCCTCGGACAAGTAGTGGCACTGTTCTGACAGAGATGTTGGTCGTTATGATTGGAGGATATGGTTCTGCAGCACTGTAGCATGGAGTATTATTTTGATATAAAAAAGAACAAAGTAGGTCAATATTGACATGCTACAACACAGATGAACATGCCAAGAGGAAGGCCAGAAACATGGCTACAACACAGACGAACATGCCAAGAGAAAGGCTAGAAACATGGCTACAACACAGACAAACATGCCAAGAGGAAGGAAGGCCAGAAACATAGGGTAGGATCCCATTCACATGAATGTCCAAAGTAGGTAAATTGGTGGAGGAAGAAGGTGGGTTTTTGGTTGGCAGAGGCTGAGGAGAAGGGAGTGGGGGAGATTGCTAACTGTTACAGGCTTTCTTTGGTCACAATGGGAGTATTTTTGAAATTATATAGTGGTGATGATTGCATGTATCTGGGACTTACACTAAAAGCTACTGAATTGTATACTTTAAAGGAATGACTGGTATGAGATATGAATAACATCAAAAGGAAGGAAGGAAGGGAGGGAGGAAGGAAAGGAGGAAGGAAGGAAGGAAAGAAGGAAGGAAGGAAGGAAGGGGGAAGGAGGGAGGGAGGGAAGATGTGTAGCAGGTATGAAGATCAGTGGGGGAGTGTTGGGCACAATAACCCTTCAGATCTGGGGAGGGAGAGATTGCTGAGACTGTGCAAGGCCCTGGTGCTCAATCCCTACAACACTGAAGGGTTTGGCTCTTCAGGGGCAGAGACCTTGATTCCCCTCCCCCCCCCCACCTCAAGCACCCTTGGGTGGTTTGGGAGGATTGGGTGGATCAGCCATCCACAGACAAGGGAGGGCTACAAAGATGAGACCTGAGTGATAGAAAGACTGTGGACAGAGAGGAGCAGGACCCAGAAGTGCTCAGGATGGGTACGGGATGCCCTGGGTCAGGGCACCGTGGAGCTGAGAGCCAGCGTCTGGGGAGGTATGCAGTGCCCACCACCCCTACCTCTTTCAGCGTCAGCTAGATGTAATGCAGCAGGAACTACAAAGGGTCCCCAAGAATCTCACTAGGGACCTGACCACCCTACTCAGCGCCCCTCCCCCACCAAAGGGGAGTGAAGTTGCTGCCATTGTCCAGTTATCCAGCTCTGGTAGGTGTAGATGGAGTCTCCAGGAAGATCTTCCTGGGAGCAGTGGTCCATCTTCCCCTTCCTCTGTTCCTGGATCCTCAGTGGGACTCCTAGGGTACTCTCCCATGATGCTTATTGTTCTGAGCCATCGGTCACATTGATGGTAAGGAATCAAAGCAAGCTGCATTGACTGGACGCTTACTCTGCACCAGGCACTGTGAAAAGCCTGCACAGGCATTCATCCATCTGCTTCCTCAGTAACCTAGAGGGTAGGACGTTGTCATGGACACTTGTAGATGATGACAATGAGCCATAGGGAGCTTAGACAGCAGTTTGATGAATGCCTCCCCCTCTTATTGTTTTCTCCGCTTCGATGCTTTGCCCTAAAAAAGTAGCCATGTCTTCCACACCTCGCTATTCCTAGGTTAGACACTGGTCTGGACAGATAAACTAACTCCTTAGATCTAGGGAGGAAGAGGCTGCTGAGGCTACCTACTGACACGGCTGCAGGGATGATGCTCACTTTTAATCCCAGCACTCAGGAGGCAGAGGCAGGCAGATCTCTGTGAGTTCAAGGCCAGCCTGGTCTACAAGGAAAGTTCCAGGGTTCCAGGACAGCCAGAAACCCTGTCCAAAAAAAAAAAAAAAAAAAAAAAAAAAAAAGATAGGGCAAATGCAGGATGGAATTGTAGTAAAACCCAGAGCCTAGCAAAGTGCTAGAACAGTGTCAGCCAAACTAATTATTAGCCACACTGCTAGCAGGCCCAGCATCTTTAGTGCTAAGAAGTGCCTAGGAAGTGATGTGTCCAGCAGAAGAGACTAGACTATGTGTGAGCGTTGTGGGGATACAGGATGTCACCCTTGCTGGATGGAGTTTGGCTGTCGGCCCCCTGACCATTTCTGTGTTGTTCCCATGTGTTTCAGGTGGTAGCAGTCTATCCTTTTGTGGCCAGGAGCACCCATGAGCTGAGTCTACAGGCAGGCCAGCCTGTGACCATCCTAGAAGCCCAAGACAAGAAGGGGAACCCAGAATGGAGCCTGGTGGAAGCAAATGGACAGAGGGGATATGTGCCTTCCAACTTTCTGGCCAGGACCTCGAGCCCAACTCCCTGGGGCTGGAATCTTCTCTCTTAGCATGCCCTCTTTGGAACCCCCATTCCTAAAGGCAGAGGCTTAAGGTGTGTGTGACCTAGGGGGCATGGTGCAAAGCACGGTGGGAATGGGAGAGACATGAAGGGCACCCAGAAGGCAGCAGGAAGTGGTGACTAGGTCTTCCAGAATGCCTGGTGTGGGAGGCCACAGTGGGTGGTTCAGCAGTGCCACTCTAGTCTGCATAAAGAAGCCATCTCAAGGCCACAGCCGATTAGCTAGGGCTTGCCACAGCTCGAAACTCATCCTACCTCTTGTCCTTTTCATGTCTAGGATAAATGTTGCCTGTGTTAGTTGCAGGTGGGGCATCTCTGAAGAAGATCAGACCTGCCTGTCTCCATAGTACACTTCCCACAGCGTTGCCAGGAAACATCATGGCTCACCAGTCCTCTTTTCTTTCTTACTGCCTTGAGTTGAGTTACTGTGAACAGTGAACTGTTGGAGAGTCCTGCTCAAGGGGAAGCCGTGGGCCTAGGGTCTGAGGAGATTCTCTACTGGGTCTGAAAATGGGTGTGGTCTCTGTACAAGTCTAGACTGTGTGTACAAACTCAGAGGTGGTTCCAGGGAAGAGGAGAATTTGAAGGTGGATTAGCCGGTGTGTGAGGCTGATTGCAATGGTATATACATCTGGTGTTTTCTTCAGACTAGGAGACAAAGGAAGTTGGCAGTCAGTGCTGGTGGAACTCTGTGAGACAGGTGACTGCTGGCCTGGCGAACTGGGTAGGTGAGAGATAGCGTGACTTCCTGGTTCTGAGTAGAAGAACCAGGGGAACACAGCTGGCCTAGGTTTACCTCTGATGCCATGGAGGCTTCAGGGAGCTGAAGTTGGGTAGATGTGAGGCCTAAGACATAGGGCACAATTGCAGTTTTCCACTTAGGAATAAACTAAGTCATGGGACTCAGTCAGGATGGCACGAGGCTGAGGATGCAAAGGTCCCTTGTCAACCAGGAAGTGTGACACCAACAAAAAGACAGTTAGTGGCGTCAGGATGGTGCATCCATTGGCTGTCTTGGGCTAGCAAAGTAAAGCAGTCTTACCGTCACCCCTCATGTCTAAGTCAACAGTGTCTTTTTTCTTAAACCCAGGCTCCGACTCTAAGCCCTGTCAGCATGGATTAACAATAGACACATTTTGAGACATGCTCGGTTAGGGGATTTTGTTTTGTGTGAATATCATGGAGTGTGCAAACTAACAAGGTTATGACATCACAAGGCAATATAATCTCATGGGACTATGACATACACACAGTCATTGTCTGTAGCTGGCTGTTGCATGGCACAGGCCATTGGATGTAATCTAGGTAGCCAAAGTCCCAATGCTTAGTACTTTTTTTTTAAAGATTTTTAAAATTTATTTATTATATGTAAGTACACTGTAGCTGTCTTCAAACACCCATATGAGGGTATCAGATCTCATTGCAGATGGTTGTGAGCCACCATGTGGTTGCTGGGATTTGAACTCATGACCTCTAGAAGAGCAGTCAGTGCTTTTAACCGCTGAGCCATCTCACCAGCCCCCCAATGACTAGTACTTGATGAGCAAGCTATTTCTCAAATCTGGAAACAGAAACCCCTCAAAGCAGACCCTATTCCAGGATGACAGGCCCATAGTGGGGGGGGAGGGCAGTGTTGGGTGTATTCACTACTGGGCAATGTCCCCAGGCTGTTGCTTTAGGTCAAGAGTAATTGGAAGATCCCAAGACAGTGAAAAGAGTGATCCACTGACACATTTGGAATTGACCCTCTTGAGGGAGAGAGCATATAACAGGTGGCTATTTCAGTATGTTCAAGACTACATCTGCTTTTCCAACTCAAGTGCCTGTTTGTTAACTCTGGCTTCTGAAGGGCTCTTGAGAAAGACATCCTTGTCTGTGTCAGACAGTCTGTAATGAGCCTCCTCTCAGTTTGTTAAAGCACCAACACTGTGTGACGCAAGAGCAAGACTCCCCAGCTCCTTTCCCAACCTCAGGTTCTCTCGCAAGATGTTCTCAGCTCACTTTCCTATCTGTTTCCTTCTCAGGCTTCAGATCAAAATAGGAAGCATAGATACACAGATGCCAAAGGGGAGCTGTACCTGAAGCTTCCGTAGGTTTTTACTGACAGCTCACTGTGAAGTTGAGACTCTGGCTTGGGGTTCTTAGCATGGCTGTTCACAGCTGCAATTACCTGGGTAGCTCTAAGCTGCTGCAAACCAGGAGCCCACCCGAAGAGAGCTGATGTCATTGATCTGGGCATGGCCATGGTCTTGGGCTTCAGGAAGCTAACCATGTGAATCTCACATGCAGCCACGTTGAGGACCTCTGCCCTAGAGGTAAATAGCTAGATCTGGTGAGAGGTGGGAAAGGATAAGTTAAGTTGTGCCCTACCTGAGCTTTGCACTGGCTATCTAAGCAGGAAGCTTTAGAAGCAGCTTGGAATAGGACAGCCTGTTCTGTCAGGTCCCAGAATATATATTTATTAAGTGCCATTAAAGGGGACCTGAACAAAATTGGTTGTTCTTATAGGCATAAGGGAGAAAAATTAAATATACTTTGAACCAAGGCTATCTCACGAAGAAGAAATAAAAATGTATTCAGTACATGTGGGTTATAGTTTCTCAGACCAGGGGGTGAGATTAAAATCACTGGAGAGTGAGAGAAAGCGTACTGAGAAGATGGAGCATGGCCTGGATTTTCTCCAAGGGACTCTGTGTAATGTGCCTTTTTACCCCAATGCCTAGAGCCATTGCACTGTGTCTCATTTATTTCACTCTTGGGCTGTCACATGCATACTCACAATGAGAATTGCCTAAGAATGGAACAGAATCTCCCAGGAGTCGAAGGATGGTTCACATGGTACCCCCTGCTCCTCAAAGTAAAGTGGGAACTCTTTAACCCTTTGAGCACCAACTTAGTTTAGGATGCAAGGAGATAATTGTATTATCCAAGGGAAGATGAGTGAACTCTTGAGTCACGTGATGAGCATGATGTGAACTACCGTCAATAAAGGACTTAGTATGACTCCAGCTGTTGGCTAGTATACCATTCATTCATGGTTCTTGTTAGATATGAGAATGACACCTTGTTCATTCATATGTTTATTAGAGTGTCTACTGCATACCCTTGATGCCTCTGGATTTGAGCATAGATGCTGGGGATACAGCAAGACATCAGACAGATGGACCATGCCACTTTTGAGCCACAGTCTGGGCATGGAGGCAGACAAGTCAGCACGCAGTTCTATGAGTGTCAGGATAGTGGATAGCTGGAGCCCAAGAGAGGTGTTGACCTTTGACCTCGACTTGGCAAGCAAGGAAAGCTTCCTAAAGGAGGTGCTATATGACCTCTGACCCAGTGGGTGCCTGAGCTTACGTGCTCAGGAGGGCATATGAAAAAGCTAGAGGAGACAGAAGATCGCAGAAATGAAAGACTACAGAGCCAGAGTGAAGGGATGGATGTGTGTGTGTGTGTGTGTGTGTGTGTGTGTGTGTAGCAGAGGCAGTAAGAGACACACTAGGCAAGCCTGAAAGACAGAGGGCTTCAGTATGGGAGCCACTGGAGCTGTTGAAGGAGAAGGAGTGAAATGCTCAGGGCTACAGTTTTGGGAAATCACCTGGCTCTGGCTATGTGCCTCGTATACCCATAAATGACACTGCTTTATGAGGAGTGCTGCTTCCTTCCAGAACCTTCTAAATCTCTGTCATAGCTCCGAGTTAGAGGTGTCCAATATGTGTTGCATAGATGAATGTCACAGAAGGAGCAGAAATACTGAAACCTTTATGAACCCCACTCCTGGTTGGAGGCATACTAGTGTTGTGGTGCTTTTTGGCTCTGCAGGGCTCAGTGCCATTGACATCATAGAACTACTTGCACCAGGCTTAGACAAGGGGAAGATTTGGAGGGTAGAGGTTTTTGTGGGAGGCTTGATAGAAGAGATGGGCATA